CTTTTTACTATAAAGAAAAATAAAATGTAAGTCATCCATAAAAAATTAAAATTGCCACTTTATATTAAAACTTAATGTTCTTTGAAAGTTTTAGAAACAGCACTGTTTTTCCTCTCATAATTCAGCCCAGATGTTTTACACATAGCCTAGAATAACTCCAAAATATATATGAGCAGGACAAATGAATGAACTTTCTGAACCAACTCACCCCATCTCCATTGCTTTATTCAACTGATCTATCTTTGTAAAGTTTCTTTAGCTTGGAATAAATTCTAAATATGCAAAATGCAATTGAATCTGTGAAATTAGTTAAAGGATAGGAAACTGATGTTGTGGAAATAAAAGACGAAACCCTGTACTGAAGCCCATGACTTGACTTGGACTGAAAATTGAGCCCAGCCTGCCCAATGGATGGTCTAGGAATGCTCTTGCTGAAGTTAGAGATGTGGTACCCAAAAGATTTAGGGGCCTCCAAGCCCCACTGCCACTCATAGAAGCTTATCTAACCATTTCTTCTTTTCTGTTTAAGAACTCTCTCCAGGTATCTGATAAAATGCTTTTGCTTTCCGTGGTAACTTTCTTCAAATTTTGTATCTGTCCTTGAAAATTATGATTGACAGGGATACATTCTGTCTCTTAGGAAATGAAAGAACAAAGAAGTCATAAGGTGACACAAATAGTGGAACAAAATGAATATCTTCAGACTTTACCCTGACTGTGTAACCAGATTATGACTCCTGTCATCTCACATCATTCATAGGAAGAAAAGATTTATAACAACATGGGATTTATGTCACATAATCTTGGTTCGCTATTATCATAAAAGGAGTTAAAATACTATTTCACTCCCATTTGGAGTAAAAAAAAATCTGATGGCTTCAGAATTGTATTTGTTACCACTATATCTGCACACACAAACACATAATAGACTTCCTAGAGTTTTTAAACACTACTACTCAAAATGTAAAGCCATACTTAGTACATTTGTCAGGCTCTTTTATATATATCGCCAACATATTCATATTCTGTTCTATTAATATAAGGAACAATTTTGGAGGCATCTAGGTATGACTTTATGTACCAGTTCGGCAATTAATCTGTTACATAGTCATGAGCATGCTAGCACCTCCGTGGTTCACTTAATACTCTAGTTTCTCTTCGGATCATATAAATCTTTCACCTTTTTTTGTGAATAGGGAGTCCGAATGATGTGTTTTGAGAAGGAAATGAGCCTGTGGATATAAAGCACTTACTTCTTTGGCCCAAATTCTTGTTAAATGTACACCAGAAACAAGATACTTTCATCCAAAAATTATTTAATGAACATTTATGAGAATTCTTGGTGCTATACAAGTGTGCCTTACTAAGTATGTCATATAAAAAAGAAAAGATAGAGCTTGGTTCCCCAGATCATATTTTCTCAGTGTCAGTGCTACTGAAGTTTTTCGGCTAAATCTTTGGTGGGGGAGAGTTCCCTGTGTGTGTAGAGCGGCCCCCAGTCAGCTCTGTGTCAGAAGCCCCAGGGCATCATTCGCCTTCCTCCTGATTTGTGACAACCAAAAAGGCCACACACACTGCCAAAAAACTCTTCTAGAGATAATCTGTATCTCTCCTGTTGAGCACTTCAACCTTTGATGATTTTTTTTGTAAAGAATATTCATAGATTGCTAGTCCTAGGAGATTCTCTGCAAATGATCTCATAGGAAAATGAGATGAGGAAAATTTAAAAATAATGATAGGACCGGCCTGATAGCTCAGCAGACTCTAAAGTGCCTGCTTAGGCAGAGCACAGCAGCTAGCCAAGATTTGATCCCCCACCACCGAATGCTGCACCAGCCCCATCTGTGTGCTGGTCACGCTGAGACAGCAACTGAGACTGGGCATGGTAGCACACCCATAATCCCAGCACTTGGGAGGCTGAAAGCAGGAGAATCACTACGAGTCTGATTACGTAGACCTTGTAGTTCCTGTCTTAAATACAAAAAAAGACAAAAAATAGTAATGGCTAATTTTTGGTTAGCTGAATACATAGGGCAGCCTGTTCTGATTCAGTCCTAATGAATGGCTTAAAATTAATTCTGATTTTTATGAAAAGATTTCTCGAGTAGAAAAAGTAAGCTCCCAAGAAATCAAGTACTTGCCTGACTGCTGACTGGTATCCTACAATGAGATGAGAAAGTGCTGCAACTAACTAGTTTCCAAAACATCTCTCTAGCCTGTGCAATTATTAGACAGTACTGCCCTTGTATACCCTACTTTATAAAAATAAAATTGGAATAAAATGAAATTGAAAAAAATCCAATTGGAATATTAAGGATAATTATTCTTAATTGGTGCAATTCATTAGGTATTTACTTTATCTCCAGGATTTACAAAATCATCTTGTGTCTCAATCAATTGACAGTAACCTCCTAACTATTTGCTAGATGATTACTCTCATAAACATCTTTGAACACAAGCATAGAAACCACTATCCATAGAACCATTAGCACAATAACAGCAGGCAAATTCAGATGCTTAGGGACTGAGGAAGGGGAGAGGGCTCTGCTAAAGGAAAGCCGAAAGCACTACAAAGCAGATAGAATGTTTGAAGTAGAAGTTTGGTCTACACATTAAACTTGGGAAAAGAATTGTCTGCTGTGTGGAAAGGCATTCTCAACAGCATGAGAAGGATGTACAAGGGTGATATGTTTGGAGTCAAGGCAGGTGGGAGGAAAATAGAAGGCAGGGTTTTGCGGTATTATAATTGGTTTGACTCCTGTGGGTGTTTAACTTTGTGAATTTAACTTGACTGTAAGGGCAGGAGAGGACAGTAATGGTTGACTAGGTACTTGGCAGAGAGATTTGAGGTGAGTAGTATTTGGTGGTTGAGAGACCTACTTGATACCAAGTGAGTCTTTCTGCAAGAGATGATACCTTGAGGTAGAACAGAGGATCGGATATGAGAGCTTTCATTAACAAGAGAAGCAGGATAAGGCATAGCTTCCTCTTCATGGGCTATTAGAGCAAATAAATAAAGTTGTTTATGGAAGAGCAACCTCTGCAAAACAAAATAATGCACCTTCCAGGGAATAATATAGCAGGGAATAATATAACCTTCTGGTAACCTAGAGAATTTTAAGTACCTCGTTGCAGATGCCGTATTTGATCTCAACAACTGTTCTCATCTCCATTCAGACTTTCCATAGAAATTGACCACCCCAGAGTTGCTTAATGAAGGTGCAGAGCTCCAAGGTAGATTCTCAATTACAGTCCTTAAATTTTAGTCCACGCCACGTTGTCTGTTTCCTTCTAATCAGATCACCAGGGGAACATGACTCAGAGAGCCAGCCACATGAATTTGGAGACAATGAGCCAGTCAAATATGTTAGGACGACGTTATGCCTGGATGCTAAAGAAGCAGTTGTTTCACTGGTGAATCAATCAGATTTGGGAGTCCCTGTCATGACCTCTGGCTTAAACATTTGAGATAAGAGTAATTGAAAGAGCAAAAATACCTATTTAAATCTTAATAGCAGTTTCCCTATTTTATTCCTTATTAAAATAGCTAATGAGTCACCCTCAGATAAATACTTCAGCATAATACCAAGTAGGTTTTTACCTCTATGCGTTATTCAATAGATTCTTACAACCTTACTACTCAAATTCAAAATGACCATATAATAGAGCATACTTAACCTTTTTCTATTTTTTCCAAATATTTTCTTCAGATTATACTTTTAAAAATCATTCAAGGCAGTGGAGCTATGTCAGCAGTCTAAGCACCTGCCTGGCAAACATAAGGACCCAGGTTCAATCCCTTGCATCACATGCAGTGCCAGTGCCGCCCTGGGCACACCAAGGTGGTCACCAAGACCTGTCATGGTGTCACAAGCCTGTAATCCCAGCGCTGAGGAGGCTGAAAACAGGAGGATCACTAAAAGTCTAAGCTGTGTAGTGAGAGCCTGTGCCAAATACATAAAATTGAAAGAAATCATTCTCAATACTTAGTTTAAGATGTATATTGCATTTTAAAACTGGTATAGATTTTATATTTCCATCCCCAGAAGTTTTGAAGAAAATATTTTATCTACCATGTTTCAATAAGATTTATTCTTGCATCAAAAATAAAAATTATTAATAATATCTGATATTTAAAAACTATTAGATTCGAGATGCCTTTGAAGTGCTATATCAAATAAAAATGATCCCATTAATTATTCTTCAGCCATTTTTCATGTGGGCAGAAAGTGGGGCAGTACAGTAGAACAAGACTTCATAGTTCCTGAATTATACTATAATGTTCAAATGTAAGTCTGTGTTGTGTTCAACCAGCAAAACCTGTGTGCTTTCTATACTTTCCCTCAGAGTCTAGATTTTATCACTATTTCATCTAAATTTTAACATAAATCCATAGCTGACGTACTGCCCTGTGTTACTAGTTCAATGAATCTCTTCCTTTTCTTTCCTGTGCTCAGGAATGCTGTTTTAATCTCTAAGCTTAAGTGGTTCATTGACTATCTTACCTGCTCCAAAATAGATCTGCAGAGTAGGTGGTTATAAAAATAAAAATTTATGAATGTGTATCATTAACAGTAATGTACCTTTCAAAATGCTGGCAGTTTGGGCCAAAGATAAGATATTTTAATCCCAGACTCATAGAATATTAGCATAGAACACTAGTTTTAAAGTATTTGAGGATTCAATATATTACTATGTATGTAACTGACTTTATATATTGCTACAGCAATATATAATGATAATAATGTTTACTCATGAAATGGTTTTTATAAAACCAAATATAAAGAGTCTTTATATGTAACAAATATAGGCAGATAAATTAAAAGCTAATGAATAAATGCCTTCCATACCCCAATTCGGCTCCAAGTGAGTAGGATATTAACTCAGACCTGTTTCACTTGTGATAGGGAACTCCTGTCTCCCAATGAAAACTGTCTACGGTGCAAGCATTAATATTTTTAATATTAATATTCTAACCCATTTTTATGTAAACATTTTAGGTATATCAATATATGCATGAAACGATAACAGTTAATGGCTGTCCCGAATTCCGTGCAAGGGCCACAGCAAAGGTAAGGCTTGCATAACTTTAAAGAAGTCCTTGACCCTGGTGACCCTGTAATTGACTGTGCGCGTGTGTGTTGCAGGTATTCTCGTGTGTACACTGTAAGAGAATTTAGACATCAGTGGCAGCCCAGAGTCTAGAACCATTACTACTTCCCAGGTAAAAAATCCTAATGGAAAATTGAACGTTTCTGCTGCTTCTGTAGCTTAAGAAAGGAGAATGATCTCATTAAAAATCACTAAACGTCCATTTGGCACAAGCAAATCTACTGGCTCATTTTATAAGTACTCTATGGTTTTCTAACACATTTCTCTGATCCAAAAGAACCCTTGTCCTACTTGGTGTGTGGTTTCTTTGCACAGGCCTGCAGACTTGATGTGAGTCAGACGTGAGCTCAGCTAAACCCACTAATCTACATTCATTGTGTTTAGTTTAGAGTTTAGCATTGAGTGACTTTCTAAGGAATGAGCCATTGACCTACAAGGAAGGCTTGTTACCTTCCGTGGTAGGGAGCGCTCTTCCTCTTTAACAACTCAAATCTAGACAGGACAGAGACACTACTAATGAAAATGATACAGCAAGGGCCGGCCAGATGGCTCAGAGGACTAAAGTGCCTGCTTAGGCAGCAAGCAGTGGCTGGGGTTCAATCCCCAGCTTGCCATGCCAGCCCTGCCCCCAGGGCACACTGAGAGGGGGATTGAGACTGGGCATGGTGGCACTTGTCTGTAATCCTAGCGCTTGGGAGGGTGAAAACAGGAGAATCACTACAAGTCCAATCTACGTAGTGAGACCCTGTAGACCCTGTACTAAATACAAAAAAGAAAAAAGAAAATGATACAGCAAGAGGATCATGACATTTTTTGGAAAATAGTCCATTAGAGGAAAAAAAAAATGGAGTTTTCATCTAAACTTCTTGATGCAGTTCATATTCAAGAAACTTAGAAATATTATAATAGAACCTAACTTGGCTTTAAGAGCTTTTATTTTTCTAATAATATGTAAGAGAAAAGAACCAGTGAAAACAATCAGAATTTTACATTTAATTATTTTGTGTTATATCACCTGTTGTTTGATTTTTTGCTTTGATTCTTTTTTTTTTTTTTTAGTTTTTCTTTCTGTAACTGAGCAGTATAGATTCATTTTATTTATTTTTTGACCCAGGCAGAAAGAGTATTATTAGCATCACATCACGCTTTGCTTGTACTGAAGTTGGACACACTCAGAAAAATGATCCCTACATGGTTTAATTAAGGGGAAAGTGAATTGTGTAGTGTTTTACCATTCTCATTTCTTATTCATGTAGAACAGCAGGATAGCAGCATAATGTTGCAACAGCACAATATTTTCTGGTCCTTTCTGGGCTGTCTGCATTGCATCCACGTCAGCCATTAAGACTTCTGCATGATGACCAGGTTTGCATGAGCCGGTGCATGCAGCTAAAGACGAGCCATCATCTCCATACCATCCACTGTCCGTCACTAAACGCAGGCAGTAGCGTAATGCTCAATTGATGTGATACTGCTGTGTGTGGAACAAGAATGTATCGTTGTTGGGAATCAATGTTTTCACGGTGTTGAGTAAATGACTTTATAGTGGGCATCTGATCAAATGTGGTGAAGGCAGACTATGGGAAGTAGAAAATGAGAAGCAGGCAGGCCGTCTTTTCTTGAGTAGAAACTACAGAAATGCTATTTTTTTCTGGGGTGGGTGGGGACAAATGGTAAGTTGTTTTCTTGTGCTTGTTTAAAGGGATTTACATGAATTTTGAAATAAAGTTATGTCCATATTTAGTGATATTTTTAAACTTAGTTATAAAGCTATGGACTGTTCATTTTGCGTATGTCACTATAGGAGTTTAAATGCTAAAGTAGAATGTAGGAGAGAAAAAAAAATACTATGCCAGATAAAAAGTTTCACAAAATAATATAGAATGTTGATATGAAATAGTAATCTCTTTGAATCTATTGTTTCCTTTCAATTTTTGTTTTAGGTTAGAAATCCTGGATTTTCTTAAAGGCCTTAATTTACGCAATCTGTCTGTCAATAGGAAGATTAAATATGTGTTCTCAGGAATACACACCCGAGTGCTCTTCCGTTTGTTGCTGATGAACATTTGTGTGCAATCACTAAGTTAGACTGTGTGTTGCAAAGAGAAAAATCCAAAATAAAATCTGGCCTTAGGCTCCCCTTTAGTCAACATATGATGTATAAGATAATTATAGTCCTAGGTGATATATATATATATATATATATATATATATATATATCCGAACTATCTGGAGGCCAGAAAGAGAATTTGCACCTAAGTGAGATGACTGTCAGAGAATTCTATGTGCAATGATTTTGCGTAGGGAATGAAAGCCAGAAATAGCCCTACTCCCAGGCATGCTGAGAAGGCAACTGAGACCAAGCGTGGTGGCGCGCACCTATCATCCCAGCACTTGGGAGGCTGAAAACAGGAGGATCACTACAAGTCCAGTCTGTGTAGTGAGACCCTGTAGACCCTGTACTACATACATAATGATTAAAAAAAAAAGCCAGAAATAACTGGGTGGGGCTTTGCAGAAAGGAATTATTGATGGCATCTAAATACAGTCAGGCTCCTGCCTTTGTGTTCTTTGTTCTACAGGATGTTCTAGAAGTGTAAGAAGCTGCTTCCGCTGCCTCCTGCAAAGCATGTGATTGGCCATATTTCTCTCATTTTATTACCAAAAGACCATCTTTTCTTTCAGGCAACAGTTGCAGCTTTTGCAGCTAGTGAAGGCCACTCCCACCCTCGTGTAGTTGAGCTGCCAAAAACCGATGAAGGCCTTGGTTTTAACGTGATGGGAGGAAAAGAGCAAAACTCCCCAATTTATATCTCTCGCATCATTCCTGGAGGGGTGGCAGAAAGACACGGAGGACTCAAAAGAGGAGACCAGCTGCTCTCCGTGAATGGAGTGGTACGTTCCTGAAATAACCCCATATTTTCTCCCCCAGCCCAACCCTCCTCTCTGCCCCGCTGCTATTCCTGAACTCAATGTTGAAATCCTGTAACAGACCATAATTTTATATCCAACTAGCTTCTTGAGTTTGATGGATACTGAATCTATAAAAGCATGAATTTTATATTTTTATGCTTCATTTCATCTTGGGCAGGTAGGATAGATACCAGCTAGCTGGAAAACCGTCCAAGAAATTTTGCCAACATAGAGAATTACCCTTCCCTCTAATACTGTAAATGAATTAAAGTTTGGAGAGCACACTGATTTCAAGTTGCTAGAAGCAAAGGCACACATTTTTAAGGTAAAAGTCTTTGTAGTGTGTGTGCCTTTCATCTTAACTGAAAAGGAAGAATAATTGTAACATTTATATATAATAATAACACAAGAGCAAAGAAAATGCACTCATGATTTTAAACCTTATTTATTTAATTTTTAGCATATTTACAGCCATAATGAAAATGGCTTTTCTTCTACAAAGTTTGATTACTTTTCCTATTTATTACATATCACAGTTTTCAAATGACATTGAAGTAATTAAAATATATAGCATTTTAAAGTAAAAATAGGAGTGTACATTTTTTTCAGTTGGATGCCATTGCTTGTATATGTGTAGAGGTAAAGATAAACTCCTAAATAAACTCATGTCCAGTAGAATAAGTATCTCTTCATAACTTCCACAGACATAAATATCCAAAGAACATAAATTTCAGAAATAGAAACAGACATATATTAATGTTCACCTAATCAGTAACCTAGGATCTTTTCTAAGGACCTAAAATTTGCTGTGTGTGTGGAGATGAGTGCCTGTCATCTCAGCATTCTGGAGGCAGAGGCAGGAGGATTACCATGAGTTTGAGGCCAGCTGATCAAGGCTACCATGAACTACATAGTGACAGCTTGTCTCAAAAGGGAAGAAAAGGAGAGACAAAGAGACAGACAGAGAGAGGGGAAAGGAGAAATAGAGGGAAGGAGGGATGCAGGAGAGAGAGAGAGAGAGAGAGAGAGAGAGAGAGAGAGAGAGAGAGAGAGAGAGAGAACCTAAAATAGTATGTACAATAGATTTGGGTTCTCTGTAACTATATTGATTTAAGTGTAGAATATGATACCTAGAATAATACGCATTTGGAATGTAATATTTAATTTGTGATTGGGGAGTATAAGTCTTCTGCATTTACATCTTGAATTTTGTTAATTTATTTTTATTTTTAGTGTGAAAAATAGCTTTATACTACTCAAAACTTTTCATTTAATGGTGCAGTTCTCTAATGAACATCAAATTATAGGTTCATGAATATTTTACATTCGGCATTCCAACTCTGAAGTAACCATTGTATTTACTTTTTTTTTTCCATGTGGCAATGCTGGCACAGTAAGATTTTCTGTTGGTCTTTCAACAACTATTATTTTTTCAAGGAATGTTTTAACTGAACTTTCTGGTAGAGGGCTCTGGACCAATGTCCCACAAATATGACGCACAGTCATTATGCCTCAGTACATAAATTTAGTTTGCTGAATATATTGGGTATAGGCTTTAAAATGGTATAAGCTTAAAAGCAGCAGTATGCAAAAGAAACAGAGGATAGAAAAATTGATTAAAAGTAATTCTAATTGTAAAAATGAGACAATAAATGTACAGACATCAATTTAATAGGTAATTGAGTTTGAACTATGGTCAAACGAGTAGAGAACCTCTGGTTGACCCACACGTTTGCAGAGTACACAGCTGTAGGCATTTCATAGCCGTTCATCCACTCCAGGCCAGGCCCTTGTAAGGAAGGGGCAGGGGAGGACTCAAGGAATCTAAAATCAGGCAGACCAAGTTCTACCCTTCAGTATCCATGAGGTTCTGGATTAATATCTCCTCCAACTTGGTTTCCTCTAGGAAAAGAGAACTAATAGCTGATATGTAAGGGCACTGATGAAAATTGTGGAGAGGCAAAGTGGCTGTTGAGAATCATCCTGTGGTCATCCAGCATATGCTGCGCTGATAGGGCAGGGCAGCTAATGAAGAAGGTTGAAGGCATAACGTTAGCAGCCCCTGTGATAATGTATTAGCCACTTCCATACAAAATACAGTATGCATACAGCAAATTCTACTACACATAGATGTATATTATTGCAAACTTTCATGAGAAAGAAGGTAATAATCAGCTTGACTGTAAAACTGATAAAATCCCAGTTCTCTCTCCATTCCTGTGTTTCAGTGCTAGGCTGGAAAAAAATACGCACTTGAGTCAGATTTGTTTCAAGGTCAGGATTTTATTTTTTTTATGTTCAGTGTCAAACAACCAGAAATCCTACTAAAAGAACAGTTGGAAGTAGGATGGTGTAGTGATCAAACTCTGATGTCACCCCCCACATTAATCCTGTGGTTAAAAAAAAGTAGCTAATACCTCCAAAACATTTTAATATCACACGTATGTTTAAAACCTATAATTTTACCATGTAAGTTCCCCTTGTAACATATTGTGCTAGTTAGTAGGTCATTAATTTCACCAAAAAAAATCAACTTCTGATGTATTTTCCTAATAAGCAAAGCATTGTTTATTCATTGAAATAACTATAACAAGTGCTATTTTAGCAATAATGGTAGAGTGCTGCTTTTCTGATATAATGCTGACTGAGCACTCTGAAAGTTTATCGGGTTTCTAAAGTTATAGCTTATGGACCAGCCAAATAGCTCAGAGGATTAAAGCTCCTGTCAGCAGGTGCAGGGGCTGGGGTTTCGATCCCAGGGCATGCCCAGCACGGCTCCATCCCTGCAGCACACTGAGATGGCAATTGAGACTGGGTGTGGTGGCACATGCCTGTAATCCTAGCTCTTGGGAGGCTGTAAACAGGTGGATCACTATGAGTCTGATCTAGTAGTGAGACCCTGAACACCCTGTAGGTCCTTCCCTAAAATATAATCAATCAATAAATCAATAAATCAATAAATAAATAAAGTTACAGCTTAAAACATTGCACCTTCATTTAACGAAAGCATATATCACAATCTACTTATTTAAAGATAGCTTAAAAATAAGTTAGATACATTTTAACAGTGCCTAATTATTATGCATTCATTAAAAATAGTTTTGTGAAATGAGAGAAGTTGTGATCCAGTAACTTCCATACAGATGTACAAATAGTCTTGTTTAGTTCTAGATGTTTGGATTTTTAATGTCAAATTCAGAGATCTTTTCCATCGAAATAATTCTTGGCAGGTGGTAGTATTTAATGAAAAACACACTTTAAAGGCCAGCCATATAGTTCAGCAGACTAAAGTGCCTGCTTAGGCAGAGTGCAGGGACCGGGGTTCCATCCCTGGCATGCCATGCCAGCCCTGCCCCTGGGGTGTTCTGAGACAGCGATTGAGACTGGGCGTGGTGGCATAATCCCAGTGCTTGGTGGCTGAAAACAGAATCACTGAGTCCGATCTACGTAGTGAGACCCTGTAGACTCTGTAGATCCTGTACTAAATACATAAATTTTTTTTAATTTAAAAATATTTGGCTCTGTAATGAAAGAAGAAAAAAAAAAGGTAACAAATGAGCAAATGATTTCTGCCTTGACAAAAAAAGTACCATTTAGGGAGATTAATATGAAAAAATTTTAGACTATGTCCTTCTCAGTTGAGAACAAAGTTGGAAAGGAAATGATTTGGAGAACTGAAGAAAATCTTATTTTAAAATCTTATTTTGAAATCTTATGAGGATAATTTCCAAGTCTCCGACTTTAAAAATAAAATAATTGTCCATGGACCTTTGACGATCTGAAGAGACATCGAATTGATGTCGTCAGTTACGTTTACGTCTTAGATGCACTGAGGGGGAATGTGTCTTGATGTCAGGCAAAATAATAACATTTTAATACAGAACTGTTAAAATAGAAAGTTAAACAATAAAATAGAATGAAAAGGGGGAAATCAATAAACAGAAGTAAAGAATAGATGCAAGAATTGAGAAATTGATTTTCCCCCTAAATTTTAGGTCAAGGCAGACAGGAACTCAAATCAGTTCAACTATCATTGGGAGCTTTTTTCCTCCTATTCCTGGGCTCCAAAATAAATTCCCCAAGGGATTTTTACAAATAAACATTGAGTCACCTAATACAACTTTGTAGAAAATATAGGGGTCTTCTACATATTTTAGGGCTCCTTTTGTCAACCTGCCACAAATCTTACACCCAAATGCTGAATTAAAATTGAACATTAATAGGTCAAATTGTTATAGTTAGAATTTATAGCTTTCTAATGGTCTCCCTTTCACCTTTTTATGCCCAAGTGGTTCCTCAGAAAGTTTGAGAAAAATAATTAAGGACTGTTTATTAAGATTGCAGCCAATGTGGGGGGAAAAGGAACAGCAAATATAGTGATGGAGTCAAGCTATCAAAAAACTCAGTAGAGTGATACAGTGGACCTAATAAGTATCTGCATGAAGTCCTGCTCCAATACCCAGAAAACTAGCTATATATGTGTAGTAGCAAAGAAAGATTTTTTGAATACCAAAGCTTGAAAACAAATCTTGGGGATATCAGTTCAGTCCAAGAGTAATATAAGGCACATGGATGGGGGTAGAGGCAACAAAACATGCTGCTGTGGTTGGAGGGATCCTCGTGTAATTAAGTCCTACGGTGCAAGGGAAGAGGTTGGTCCAGCTCTTGAGTGCGCTGTTTAGCCATCACCCAACGGTATTCTGATCCAATAAACATCCAAGAAAGAGCAACTTCTGTATGTGAGAAACATGTGAAAGAAAAACTTGAATTATTGATTGTAGAAAAGTGACTGTTTAAGGCAACAATCTTCTTCAAAAATGACTGTCTTTATTCCTCGCTGGTTCAAGCCACCTGAGGTGAGACTAAGACCAGCGGATGAAGATCACAGGAAAGGGGGAAGCTTTAGCCTATGATGGATGGTAAAGAGCTTTGAAACATGGAGTGGTATCTAGGTAAAGGCTGAATCAGAAGGCAATGTGTGT